GCCTCGGCCGAACAAAAACTACGAAAAAAGGCCGCGGGCGGTCGGGGCGAGGAGGAGGAGGTAGCAGTCAAACGACGCGAAGATCGGGACAAAATCGGATCGCGATAACTCGAAATCTCTGAGAATCGGCGGGTTTGGAGGATGTATTGGGCGCCGCGGCCGCTCCAGAGCGTTCCGGAACGCTCTGAGATCGCTCCGGAACGCTCTGGAGCGATTTATCCCGATCCCAGCCCTGTTTTAGGTCGGGGCGAGGAGGAGGAGGTAGCAGGCGGGCGATCCGCCAAAGTAGGAACAGGCGGTTAATCCGCCCGAGAGGATGATGGCGAGGCGGTTGGCCCGCCGAGCAGAGGGGGGAATGCGGGCCCGCCGATCAGAGGGGGGAATGCGGCTGATCCACAAAATGGAGGGGGGGGCGCGGTTGATCCGCAGTGGGGTGCGGGGGGGGATTACGGTTGATCCGCTGAATGAGGCGTTCGATCCGCCGAAAAGAGCGGGAGAAGGGAAGATGAAGGCGGTTGATCCGCCGAAGCATGCAAAAGAGAGGAGGCGGGGGAGAAGCACGATGACAAGGAAGGCGGATAAGCCATCGAAGAAGGAGACCATGATGAAGGAGGAGGAGCAGGAAGAGCAGGAGGAATCTGATTTTTTTGCCCCAGCCAACAGCGGTATCATCCACAGCATGCGCCCAGAAAGCAAGCACTACGCAAACATGTCATGTCCGACCAGACAGCGGCACCAAACCAAACCCTGACACCAGAACAAAAAAACGAGCGACCACACACATCGATTTATTTATCGTATTAAACTAAGTACAGTATGTATGTGCTATGTGTATGGTTAAGTGCACTATGATAAAATCAAACCAACATGTATATATGTGATGACCCTTGATGTGAACGACATGTGCTATAAACTACAACAGCTCTTCCAGCCACCCAAGCAGCGTTTCCGCTCCGCAAGGTTCACGGCCACGGGGGCAGCGAGTAAGCAGAAAGTATAGGGGGGGAGGCGCCCTGCCGGCGCCCAGCGGGGGCGGCAGGAGGGTTCCCAGAGCCTGCGAAGACCCAGACCCGCAGGCGGGGCGGCGGCGTCGGGCGGCAGCGGCGTCGGGGGCGCGGCTGCACGGGGCGGGGGGGCGCTGGGGCCCGGCGGGGCACCCGGAGGGCTCCAGCTGCCCGGGGGGGCCGGAGGAACCAGCCGAAAGGAAGGGCCCGGCAGGGTCTGGAGGGACGAAGCTCAGCCACGTGCAGAGTGGGGTGGGGGGTGGGGGGGCTTCTTACGTAGAAGCACCCCTGCTTCTTAGAAGGCGCGGGCCTTATCTATAGATCTATAGATGTATTTGAGGCCGGCGCCTTCTAAGAAGCAGCCTGCTTCTAAAAAACCCTCCCCCCTCCCCCCACCCCCTTTGTGCGCGCCGCCAAGAAACGGCGAGAAAGCGGTGGGCCCCGAACTTGTGCATGTTGCATGTCACACGAGTGAGAGCGAGGCACCCCGTACGTGGGTGGACAGGGTGGGCCTGGCGGGTGCAACAGGGTACCGCCGCCAGAGTGGGCGGCAGTGGGCCCGCCCCGGCCCGGTCAAAATTGTGACAGACGCCGGCGCCCCCAGCCGGCTGGGCAGAGCGGGGGGCGGGGGGAGGGGCACCGAAAAGGTGCGGAGCAGAGAGAGAGAGAGAGAGCGAGAGCTCGCCCCCCTGCCCGGGTGGAGAGGGTGGGCAGGGGGGCTGGGGGCGCTCACCGCGAGGAGGGGCGACTGCGAGTGCCTTTGGGCGGGCCTGAACAGCATCGGAAGCCGACGCCCCCAGCATGGCTGGCAGGGGGCGGGGGCGAGGGAGAGCACCAAACTGGTGCACATCGGCGACGAAGACAGGGGAGGCCGCCGCCTGGCCCGGGTGGACCGGGTGGGCAGGACGGGAGGGGGCCGGGGGCGCCCCCATGCGGTACGGATGGACGGTCGTGGGCGCGCTCCCGTGCGCAAAACTGAGGTTCAGTCCCGAGCATCCGGCCCGACAGGGGTTGCGGGCGCGGCCGAGAACTCAGCAGGGCGGCGCGCCATCAGGAGGGGCGCGCGGCAGGAACGGTTGTAGGCTCAGAGGACGTGAGTTGGCGGTGGCGTGGTGCCCCCAGGGTAGCCGCGGGGCATGCGTTGGGTGGGCGCTGGGCGTGTGGGGCAGCCAGTGGGGAGGTGGGCCCCGGAGGTGTGGGTGGGCAGGGTGCATGGCGCGCCCTGCAGTGGCCAGGGGAGGGTTCTGCCCGTATGGCGCCGTCGGTCGTGCCGTGGGTGACGAGCCCTGCTCTCCGATGGTCCGGGAGGCGAGTTAGAGGGGGGTGCGGTGTGTGGCTGCCGGGAAGGAGCTGCCTGGTCTGCTCGTTGTTGGGGGTCGGCGCGCCGTTTGCCTCTCCCTGGTGGGCCCTGGCCCTTGCCTTTGCCGTTGCCCTCGTCGGAGTGCAGCTGCTCAATTCTTCGCACGTGCTTGTCCCATGCAGCGTGCCAGTCGATGCGAATGCACCGCTCCCTGCACAGCTGGCGAATGTCAGAGTTCTCGTCACGCAACTGGCACACGACCTCCGCGCAGAAGTGTTCCTGTCCGTCGGGGTTTTAGGTTGCTCCTGGCCGTCCTTCCCGCTGGTCCCAGAGTGAGCTCCAGCCGATGACGAACATGGGACCGCATTCATGTTTTAGCCTGTTGACAACTTCTGGCCAAGACTCATACCGGCGGGCTTGGTAGTTCCATGCGCAGTGCCGGCGTATGTCCCAGCGGGGCCTATGGTAGAGACAGTCATAGGGATCGTGGTGGGGCGTGTACCTGGCGTGAATGCGGGGGGCCCGATGCGCAGGGAAGGGCGGGTGCGTGCGGCCTGTGTGCCCGCTAGGCGCCGCGCCTCCGCCGGCGGCGGGGCGACGGTCTAGGTCGCCGCTGGTTCGCTCTGCGGTCCGAGGGGTGGTCTTGCGTGCGCTCACTGTCAGGTTCGTCGGTCGTGCATCTTCCGCCACCGGCTCCGTGCGGCTGCCTGGGCTTGGATCGACGCTGCCGTGGCCCCTTTCCGCGGTGGGGCTCCGGGTCGTCGGCTGGTGGGTCGGTGAGCGCTCCTGCTCGTGGGCGTGGGGGCTGGTTGGCGGCTCGGGCTAGCACTAATCGCCGAAATCGACGGTGCTGCGCACTGGAAGCGGCGTGGGCGGGCGGTGGTTCCCGGCAGGGGGCGTGGCAGCGCTCTGGGTGGGCCCTTCGGCGGGGGACGGGTGCGCGGAGACGGGGAGGGCGGGCGCGTCACCGGAGGGCCCCTGCAGCAGAGCTGCTGGCCTCCCCCCGGGGCTGTGCTGGCTGGGGCGTCGCCAGAGGGCCCCTGGGCAGAGCTGCTGACCTGGGCGTCGTGCGATGTGCCCGCGCTGCGCAGCTCGGGAGGTGGGCCTCTCCTGATCTTGCTGCAGTGGGGCTTGGGGCTGTGGCGGGCAGCCGTGTTCGGGTCGCAACGGGCAAGCAGCGGGTCTGCAGGCCTTGGATCCCTAGACTTACGTCGGGCGTGTCCCTCTACAGGAGGATTATGCAACAAAAGTACATGGATAATTAGTCTGGAGACGGTTTGTTGGATTATTTTCGAGTATTGTTTAATTTTCCGATCAAGATCCGCCTGTAGGAGGACCAGCGGGGTCTGCAGGTCTTGGATCCCTGGAGAAGCCAGGGAACCGAGGCGGCGTACAGGGAGGAGCCCCCGTCGCCAGAGTCGGGCCCCGGCGCCTGCGAGCGCCACCGCCGTGCTGCTGCTGCTGCTGCTGCTGCTGCTGCTGCTGCTGCTGCTGCTGCTCCTCGAGCCGCTGCTCTGCCCTCGTCCTCCTCCTCCGCCCCCCTCCTCCTCTGCGCTGCTCCTCTGTGCTCCTCCGCTCTCCGCCCTCCCCGCTCCCCGCCAGTGGGGCCGACGCACACGAGGCCAATCGCTGCAAGCGCGGCGGCAAATATTCCATCTCCTATGACGAACCAACAACGCACACACCCATATCCATAGGGGGGTCGGAGAGGGCTATGGGTGCGTGTTGTCAGATGGGGTTTCCCGCTCGAGCGGGAGCGTTCCCCAGGGTCCGACAACCCGCACCCATACCAATAGCCTGTCCTCCTCCCAACGACCCCCCTATGGGTATGGGTGTGTGTTGTTCGTTCGTCATCCTAAGCGAGTAGACTACCCCCAGACGGAGGCCAGGGTTAACGGTACCCCTCCGCGTAGTGTTTGTCCATACCTTTTCTGCGTGATCATTCGTCACACATTGACATCGTCTTATCTTGGCCAAGCCGGTATCGCCCCCCCACCATCCCTGTCAAATACAACCATACGGTGCGCACGCGCTGATCAAACACACGTGTTTCTCATTAATTCTTGTCACATAAGTTGATGTGTGATCCATGCGCGCGCCTCCCGTCCGCGCATGTCGAAATCATACAAAAGCATTTCGTCTTACATATTTCTCAAGGATCGGGCTCGTCAAGTACAATCAAGGCGCCTTTCCTTAAGACGCTATGTTTTGTCCGCTATCTCTGCTACGTGAGACAATGCGGGGAGGTTTGCTGCACCTCTGTTCCCCTGTGGGTCTGGGAAACGCCCCCCCGAACGGCGTGCGCGTGAGCGTTGCGCGTAGGGCCGCGCACAAACGCCCTCGCTTCTGCGCAGCGTGCCGCAGGCGTAAGCGTCCCAGGTAAAGTCGCCACGTGACTTGGCATCGCTTGGACGTGTGCATTGTTCCTTCGCCGAGGACCATCGAGAATCCTTGTTCATTTAGCGAAAAAACCACGCACGAAACCGAAAAAAACACAGGGAATGGACGTCCGAGCGATGGCCAGGTGAGCTTTCGCTCAAGGACCCTTTCTTTCCGCCGCCCACCTGGGGACGGCAGAACCAGCGTCAACGTCGCTCCGATCGATCCGATTCGATGTCGATCCTGGCCGGCCCGATCCGACTCGGCTCCGACATCCCGACGACCCGATGACGCTCGATGCCTGCGTGGCGCTGCTGTGGATCCTGGTGTTGCCGATCCGATTCGGTTCCGGCTCCGTGCCCTGGCATCGCTCGGACGTGTGCGTTTTTTCTTCGGCGAGGACCATCGAGGAGCATCCTTGACCCTTTGCAGAAAAAAAAGCACGCACGAAACCGAAAAAAACCCAGGGAATGGACGTCCGAGCGATGGATAGGTGCCGATGCAGCCCGATTCGACGCACATCTTGGTCCGACCCGATCTTCCGATCCGGTGTCGACTGATCCTGCCCCTGGAGACAGAGAGTGGGGCTCAGGTGCATGCACCGGGTGCTTCGCCGTGGCATCACTGACCCGGACCGCGTGCTGCTGCTTGACGTCCCGGCCGGGCCCGTGGGGCTTGTGGTGCACAGCCCGCAGGCACGGGAGGACGCTGGCCCGCGGCGGGCTCGCACCGCTTCGACGAGTCAGGGAAAGGTAAGTTCCATTCCTTGGATTGTTCAGTGTTCGGGGCCACACTTGTTTCACGATATCTGTTTTCATGGTTCCTCCTTGGGTCATACACACATATATATATTTATACATATAACGGCGCACCGGGTCCGGGGGCCCGGGGCCGGGACCCCGACCGCAAATGTGCACCCCGGGGGGCCCGGAGGCTCGTCGGGGCTTGCCGGAGGCCTCCCCAGTCAGACAAGACGGCCCAAGAAGCGCCCAAGACGGCCCAAGAAACTTCCAAGAGGCCTCCAAGAGGGCTCCGAGATGCTGAAGATGGCCTCCAGACGTCCAAGGACGCCCCCAAGAGGCCCCAAGAAGCCTCCAACATGCGTCCCAAGAGGGCCCCTAGACGCAAAAATTGGCCCATTCCCTTCGTAAAACGTACATTTTTCAACAAAGTTGTTTTTGGGCTTTCCGACGTTACAGGACGGCCCAAGAGGCGCCCAAGACCGCCCCAAGACGGCCCAAGAAGCTTCCAAGAGGGCCCCAGGACAGCCCAAGAGGGCCCCAAGACGGCCCAAGAGGCGCCCAAGATGGCCCAAGAGGGCCCCAAGACGGGCCCAAGAGGGGGCCCAGAGGGGGACCACGAACCGCAAGCTCGAGCCTTCCGCCCCAAGAGGCCGCCAGGAGGCCCCCAGGAGGCCCCTCAAGAGGCCCCAGGAGACCCCAGACGTCCAAGGACGCCCCCAAGAGGCTCCAAGAAGCCTCCAACATGCGTCCCAAGAGGGCCCCTAGACGCAAGAATTGGCCCATTCCCTTCGTAAAACGTACATTTTTAACAAAGTCGCCTTTTGGGCTTTCCGACGTTACAGGACGGCCCAAGAGGCGCCCAAGACCGCCCCAAGACGGCCCAAGAAGCTTCCCAGAGGGCCCCAGGACAGCCCAAGAGGGCCCCAAGACGGCCCAAGAGGCGCCCAAGATGGCCCAAGAGGGCCCCAAGACGGGCCCAAGAGGGGGCCCAGAGGGGGACCACGAACCGCAAGCTCGAGCCTTCCGCCCCAAGAGGCCGCCAGGAGGCCCCCAGGAGGCCCCTCAAGAGGCCCCAGGAGACCCCAGACGTCCAAGGACGCCCCCAAGAGGCCCCAAGAAGCCTCCAACATGCGTCCCAAGAGGGCCCCTAGACGCAAGAATTGGCCCATTCCCTTCGTAAAACGTACATTTTCAACAAAGTTGTCTTTTGGGTTTTCCGACGTTACAGGACGGTCCAAGAGGCGCCCAAGACCGCCCCAAGACGGCCCAAGAAGCTTCCAAGAGGGCCCCAGGACAGCCCAAGAGGGCCCCAAGACGGCCCAAGAGGTGCCCAAGATGCCCCAAGAGGGCCCCGAGACGGGCCCAAGAGGCAGCCCAAGAGAGGCCCAAGAAGCACAAATCGTGCATTCCTATGGGAAAACGTATATTTTTCGCATGTTCGCCTCTTGGGCTTTCACCGCGTCCAAGACGGCCCAAGAGGCGCCCAATACCGCCCCAAGACGGCCCAAAAAGTTTCCCAGAGGGCCCCAGGACAGCCCAAGAGGGCCCCAAGACGGCCCAAGAGGCGCCCAAGATGGCCCAAGAGGGCCCCAAGACGGGCCCAAGAGGGGGCCCAGAGGGGGACCACGAACCGCAAGCTCGAGCCTTCCGCCCCAAGAGGCCGCCAGGAGGCCCCAAGGAGGCCCCTCAAGAGGCCCCAGGAGACCCCCAAGAGGCCCGAAGGAGGCCCCGAGAAGACCCAAATCGGCCCCCAAAATGCTTCGAACCTGCTTCCAGGAGGCCCCCGACAGGTTCAGAGGCTCCCGAGAAGCTACGTCAAACTCCCAGCGAGCGGCCAGACGAGGCCCCCCACAAAATCACAAGAGGGTTCCAATATTTGTATCCTTCAGCGCTCTCTGGCCTTCTTCCCCCTGCCCCCTTCCCTGCGACTTTCGTTGACTCAAGCTCGCCTCCTAGCTAGAACCTAAGCGCGCGCGAAGCGCGCGCGTGGTTCTAGTATATATATATATATATATATATATATATATTCTGTATATATATATATCTTTATATATGTATACACGTTTTGAAGTTCATCGCCTGCGTTATTTTTACCAGCACCTATTTGTTCTTTAGTTCCCGCCCCGCTATCTGTAAGTCGGGCGTGTCCCTCTACAGGAGGTATATTTTGTAACATAGTACAACAATAGTCAAGGGACTTTTTGTTGACAGTGTTCAACCATTTGGGATAATTTCGTTGATTCTGTTCTTACTGTTTATTCCAAAATCCGCCTGTAGGGGGACATGCCCGACCTAACGCTAACTCTGACCCCTGGAAGTCTGACCCCCATTCGAAGGCGAATGTGCGCGGCGTCCAAGGTGGACCGCCGCCTGTGGCCTGGAAAATATTCTTACGGTATGTGTTGACAATCCGCGATCGTTCACGATTGAACGCCCCACGCGGTGTCAGAAACCGACGCCCAAGTCATCGCGACGTGAACCCGCCGTACGCTATTTCTTTGTGCCCCCCACCTCGATTCTCCCGGCGCACTCGTGTCTCATTCCACCTCTGCAGAATGCGCCTGTGAAGCCAAGGGCACACGCATATTTCGGCTCCATTGCGACCCAATGCACCCTGGGCCCTTACTTTATCGACTGGCGCACTGGCAAGGTCTTGTTTGCATCATCTTGTGCCCTCCAGGTGTTGCCTTTGCCACACACGCCGCGACTCGTTTTGTCAGCCTTCATGAAATTCAGTGATGGGCTCTGGGGCAATACCGGATGCACCGTTTGATCATATTCAGACCTTGAAGTTTATCGCGATGCCGCGCGGCGTCGGATGAGGGATGCCAGCGTCAGCGACAGAGGAGAGACAGAAGAGAAAGAGAGAGAGAGAGAGAGAGAGAAAAGGCGGTTGAGAGGGCGATTACAGAAGCTGCGTGCGAGCAGCAAACAGCATTGACGCGATCATGCGCAGGAGGGACGAGGGGGCATAGCCAAGAGATTGCCCAAATTGTACTTGTCTGCTCTTCCCACCTCATGGCGACGTGCTGCCGAGGAGGGAGTGTTCCCTTCGACGACGGGGCAGGGTGTAATCTAGCGTTCTGGGCGGCATCGACAGTGGGCGAATCTCCGTCGCAGAGACAGACGGCAAGGCTGGACTCCAGGGCAAACTGCATGCCGCGTGCGGCGTGCTGTGCGCCCCCGTGAGTCGGAGGGGTGTTCCCGCCGCGGCTGGCAGGTCTCATCCTCTGTCGAGCGCGTGGGTCTCCATCGCTGGCGGGGTCCAGTCGTCGCAACACACGCGAGGGGTCTCGCTCGATCCACACCACCCCGCAGCACAGAGGCGCTCCTGGTCACAGACGTGAATGCCTCATCCAGCGGGGTGCAGCGAGGGGAACGGGCCGTCCCTCCCTGATCGCGTATATAGCCAGGACCCCAGGCGAGGGGACCCCGTCATGGGGTAGGGCCCCAGAGCCCCTAAATAGGCCAGAATCACTCAAACAGGTGTGCCGTAGCTAGTGTTTTTTCGGGTCACGGCAGTTCCGGTCAGTGGAACGGGGCGGGGGGGGCGTCCCCCAGTACACATCATTAAACCAGGTCCCACTAAACCCAGTTCTGCCAACGCCCGACCTGAGCAGTAGCAACAAACTTGGCCTCCTTGGAGCATTAACGGTGCACTCTGCCCTTCGACCCTGAACTCCCACCCTGGGTCCCGCGGCCGGTGCGAGAGTTGCAGAGATAGGGGTCAGGGCGGACGCCTCGGGCGAGCCGCTCCCAGAGTTCCATCAAGCATTGCGCAGGGCGACTGGTGAGGAGGAGGAGGAGGAGGAGGAGGAGGAGGAGGAGAAGGAGGAGGAGCAGGAGCAGGAGCAGGAGGAGGAGGAGGAGGAGGGAGGAGGAGGAGGAGGGGGACTGGCAGCACCCTCTGCTGTGGCAGTCGGGGCGGCAGGCTCCTCCTTCCTGGCGCGCTTGGGGAGAGACGCCACCGCAGCCTCCGGGTCTTGAGTCGGGCCTGTTCCCCCTACAGGAGGGAGATTCAAAATTAGTCAAACATTAGTCGGGGGACGATTGTTTGACTATATCTGACCATTTGGGAGCATGTCCGGTGCATGTTTGATTCTTCGTCCACAATCCGCCTGCAGGGGGGACATGCCCGACCTGCAAGCTGGCACGTCTCCCTTGCCTCCTGCCGCAACCTCTGGATGTTCCCAGCACTGGGTCTGATGGCAGGGAGGATGGCGTTCTGGATTTCCTTCCCATGCTGGCCTTCGGGTGAAGCCAGCGCTTCCGATTAGCTTCTTCAAACTCGAGGGTCGGTGAGAGCGAGCAGGTCTCCGTCTGCAATCTCCCCCGAGTCGATCTCAGACTCGGCGTTGAGCAGCTGGGGCAGATTGATCTGCGAGCTCCTTGGGATGCACGGCGCCGCCGACGTGCTGGCACTGCCTGGGGGACCCCCGCTGGCCCTGTGGAGCTCGTGCTGCAATTCTGCCTGCCGCGCCTGCCTGCTCTGCCCCGGCCGCCGCCTCTGCCGCCGCAGCCGCTGCCGCGCGACACTCCCCGTGCTGGGCGCGCGCCTCGTCCTCCTGGGCCAC